TATATATATATATATATGGGATACAGTTGCCACTAGAAGTCCCTTGGTTTTGTATATTCCCCTACAAGATCAAATTTTGGAAAAGCTTTTACAAAACCGCTTCCTTGGTCTCGGTTTTTTTTTTTTTTTTTAAATACTAAATCTCTTGGTCTCTAGAAGCCATATTAGATTTCGATTAATTTAGAATTGAGTTAGATTAAATCCCAAAGAAGCTTTTTTAACGTTATCTTTCTATTCATAAGACTCGAATTTAAAATTATAATTAAAGGAAATCGAGTTCTTTCCACTCAAATCGCTAAATTGTTGGTCTCATTCTTAGTTTCGTATACGCTCCAAGCTATGCACCTCTTATAGAGGCTTCGGCCTGAGGGGCGTGATGAGGGGGGAAGTTCCATATGAATTTTCAAATTGCTAATTTTGTATTTTGTATTTTGGATACTGTTGCACTTGTATTTTGAATATATGATGTGACCATAATTGGTTGCAAATACATGTATATATACTACCCAATGACCTAAATGGCCTAATAAAGAATCTCTCTTTATGTGGATTAAGAAATTTTAGATTTAAATCATAAGCTGTTTCCTCAAAAATCCTCAGCCGACCTTTACCACGTGAGTTGGATGTTAGGCGTGCCACTTGCTTTGTCTAAAAACAAGAAAACAGGATTTTCCAAACGACCCTTCTCCTTTCCAACGGTCGACCTCCAATAGGATGGCTGGAAAGAACGTCTGTGAAATGAATTGCGCCCCAGACGATGTTGCAAAACAGAGAGTAGAGCTCTGCAAAATGGGTTACTAATTGCCTTGGAAACCTCCAAGGACTTCACAACCAGACAAGTGTAATAAAAACTACAAATCCTAAAATAAATGCAATATCCTAAAGCAATTAAACTAATATGAAGTAATTAACAGAAAATAACATGCCATAAAGATTAAATTCGCAGACAACAAAATAAGTAAAATAACAGACAATGATTTCAACTACGCAGCCCATAATGACAACTAAAATTGAAGAAGAAACTATGAAATGATTAAAGTCTAGAAACTTATAAATTTAAATTTGGAAATTGAAATTAAACGAACTGCATGTCTGGATATTGTGCAGAAACAAAAGAACAAAGGTAGAAAATGTTCAACCTATTTACATGAATGAATAACAAAACTAAATCCATAAAAAGAAGAAGAACTAACCGAATCAAAAGGGCAGACCTGTTTTGAAGGCTGAGTTGCTTCCAAATGCTTAAAAAAACTAATCCTAATTGGAATTTGCGGGAGAAAATATGATGAACAAAACCTAGGCTAAGGCTATGAACAAATCTGGAAAATCTGGAAGATCTGGAAAATCTGGAAGATCTGGAAAATCTGGAAACTATTGCTGAAATCTAGAAAATGCAGTCTGAAAGCTGAAAAACATGCTCTGGGCAGTCTGTGTGTGTGTTGGGCAGGCCTGTCACTGATCTCCACTTCTGGTTTTTCTTTGTTTCGGTGCTGTCACCCTCCCTCCATGATTTCCGGTACTGTTCCTCCATGATCTGGTAGTGGGGTTGCAGGTCTGGCAGTTACTTTGACAGTTATCCAATTTTATTTAACCTTATCTCCAACAACCTTAAGGATAACTACCTAAAAATCCTCAATTTCCCATTTTAAATCAAACCAAAACTACCAGATCCCATCTTATCTTCTGCCACCTAGGATCCAACCTCTTTGGAAATCCGTCTGGGTCGTTAAATTGTAAGCTAGCCCAGCCCAAATCCAGCCCATTGATTTTCTTAATAATTGGGCTTTACCTTGACACGTGGCCTTACCCTATTGGTTTATTTTAGGTGTAAACAATGCCCCCCAACACTTGGTTTTATGTGAATAAATCCAAGTGTTTAAATTACCTTTCAGACTCCAAAAGCCACATGCAAAGTCTGCTAAATCCCAAGATGATTGCAGTAGGTATTCCCAACTTTTTCACAGCTGACTCTGTCTAAGCGCATCCAGCCATCCACAGCCAGTCATGGCCACTCGATCAAACTTGCTCTCATTTTGGAATAAACACATGAAAGCAAATCAACTTATTTCTGCACAGACAGAAGTATAAACCTGGTTCAGACAGCTTCTTGTGACTCTAAGCCTCTTGCCTCCCAGACTGTAGGATAATAAGGCTTGAGATAAATTCCATTAATTTTTCTGGGATGTAGCTCTCCATCAAGTGACTCTAACCAATAAGCACCCCCTCTCAACACTTCATGAATTCGGAATGGTCCTTCCCAATTTGGAGACCATTTC